AAAAAAATCTATAAATAATAATACAAATGTTATACAGAAAGAATGATATAAGTGGGGAAACAGAAAGAACAGAAAACAATGAGCTCCAGGTAGTGGAAGTGGGAAGAGTGAGCAAAGGGACGTGTCCTAGAACTTAAGCCCTGTAGGACTGCAAAGCATTATGCGTTCTATTACCTTTTCAGCTATGCTTATGTGTTACTTTGATTAAAATGAAAAGCCATGGAGGTTACCATGGGTTTTAGGAAGACTTGTATTGAATAGAAGAGCTTACATAATTTATTTACCCATATCTAGGTACATACTAAAGGGCTTTAATCCTATGTAGGTCAGTGTCTTTGCTCTCCAGAATGAGCCAGACAATGTGAGCATAAAACATAAAGCATTCCTCGTCTTCCTACAAGTCCTCTAAGAAGCAAATCAAGACTCTAAGAGGAGACACACCTTTGCTTGTTTAAAAAAAAAAAAAAAAAAGACGACGTCTAGGGGGAAAAAACACTGTATTTCAAAATTTAGGAACATTTAAAATTTTTAAGTACTATCATTCAAAAAATTTTCTTAAATTAAGTATTTTAAGAAATTTTCCAACAAAATATTGCATACCAGGAAACAGAATACCAAGAAAAACTTTTCTACTGTCAAATTGGTATAGGAAGAAGTGAATTAGAAGTACCTTTCAATGAGTGTCCCATTTTGAATCATCCAAACATCACAATATGTCCGAGACACCAGCATAACAGCAATAAGTATCAAGTAACCTGTCTAAAATAAATGAGATGTAGTAAATTAAATACATACATTTAGAAAGTGAAAAGAAACATCTCAGTACAATTTCTGGCTTTCAAATTCAAAGTTTTATTCTAGTTTCAATACAGTAGACTGACATCTTACATGTTGGCAAATTTTAAATACAGTTTAAAAGGAGCCTAAAAATACCATGTAAGTGGGAAATGCCTTACATATCACCTAATCGTTCTCCAGAATTCATAAGTAAATCCCAGGCAGGTCAAATAACTTGCCTTCCTACCATTAGCCAATAACAGAAACTGGGAGTATAGCAGATTACATGAATCACTGTGCTTTTCCTGTATTTTTAACATACAACTTTAACCGAGAAAAATGACAATAACTGTCAGTATATAAATAACTAACAAATACTGAAGCCTAAAATTTTACCTAAGTAGAATAAATTTAATTCAATTTGTTAGAAAAATCTCTAATGATGCCCAAGTCCTCAGGGAATTGTCAAGATTAACACATTAAAAAAATTTTAAAAAGACATATTTAGGCAAGCATAACTTGTGTAACTTTATGTGGTAAGTGGTGGGATGGGTAGAGGTTTGGGATAGCAGAAGACAGTTATAACATTAGAAACATGTAGAACAAAGGAGAGTATAGGAATTAAAGATTTTTTAAAAAGGTAAAGGATTTAACGGGAAAAAAAAAACGATTAAAACCATATGAAGTATAATGCTACATATCCAGCAGACTTTAGGCCATATAAATTACTGCAAGCTTCTAAGTAGACTAAAATGTTAAAAAGTGATGTTTAGAGAACAATTAAGCAATGCTATGCAAGACAGATTATGAAGAGCTTAGAGGCTGGAAGACTGGCTAGAAGTCAGTTGTTTCTCTGTGTGAGATTCAACTCCACCACCCTGCCCCACCCCAACACACATACATTCAAAGCTGACCTCGTGTTTCTAACCGGGAAGAGTATGACAATAACAGAGAAACTAAAGTCAGGGACAAGGAGGTGGGGAATTGTCAGATAATGTGTTTAGTTTCAAAATTATTACAGCAAGAAAAAACTGCATCAATCGCTTATGTAATTTTTGGAAAACAAATAATTAAAAAAAAAAAAAATGAAGACACTGGGGGCCAGAGGGTAGCATGGTGGTTAAGGCGCTGGACACTCCCACATGGCTGATCATGGTCTGAGTCCCAGAGCTGGGGGCTTGCCTTCTCACTTTCCCTTTCTCTCTGTCTCTCTCTCTAGTCAAAATAAAATAAATGAATAAATAAAATTAAAATAAATAATTCTTTCCAAAAAAATAAGACACTAGAAATAGAGTTCTTTAAATAAGATCAAACAGGGAGTCATAAGTATAGAGGTGACAAAAGAATCCTAAGATCATGTCAATGAAGTGTGTAATGGCTGTACATTTGCAACCCCAATATTTGCCAGAGTGGCTGGCAGGGGAGATACTATCTTCCTACCCTAGCTCACCATCCCAAAGGTATTCAAATGACCACAGAAGAATCTACTGATTGTAATAAATGGGGTCTGTAGATAACACCTTAACTATGATGAAATCTTTGAATTCAGACCTCAGATACAGTCTCGGTCCTAAAGTAATCACTGAGGTACAGGTAACATCAGACAAAGGTAGTTTATTTTTTCCCATACTTTGTGTCCTTGGCTTAAGAAGTACCAAGTGTATTTGTCTCACTTTAGCAAAAGCTGGTGAACTTTGACTACTGAGTAGTGACATGACTTTAGATCAAAGATATAGGGTCACTGGAAAAGTCATGACATAATTTTCTACTTTTGTCTATGTAAAAATGTACCGTACCTTTTCAGATGACTCAATATCTTTATAATCACTATTATTAATGTGTTAGTGCAATAAATCAGAAACTAAAGATTTACATAGTACCTTACCTTTTGAAACATGTGAACTTCCATATATTCATGTACTGCATTTTCATTTCTCTATTTCATACATTAATTAATTAAGCATTCTATCTCTGCCTCCTATCTCCTATGAATTTATGGGACTTTATTTCAATTTCTTGAACCAGGGTTAAACTTAGGTTTTTTTTTTTTTTTTTATTGCCAGCAGGCAGATGCACTTGCCAAAGACACAGACAGAGAGACAGAGTAGGGAGGGAAGCAATCCCCAATGGGGCATGGACACATTACAATCCCTTCTCCTCCATTTCCCCATTCTGTCAAGATCCTGAGTGTCTATGCAAACATGCCTGGCATATTTTCCAAGGTGCCAAGGCCATGATTTGAACAGCAGTCAGTCAGGTGGGATCTGGCTCCCTTAACCTGTAGACCACAGGGCTGGCCCAAACTTAGATTTCTGTATTTTCAAGGATGGTATGTAAAATGACTGTGTGGCATGGCTAGTCCTAGACAAAACTGGGAGGCTGGCCAAGCTGGTCCTCTCTACCTACCTTACTAATGCCTTAGACCTAACCAATGTCTTACATTCATTTATTCATCTTACATGTAGCAAACCCCTGCAGTAGTCAAAACATGCATTAAGTTATTAACTCATTAGGGGGTTAATACATGAATCTTTCCAAAGAAGCCTGTATTTTAAATAAGGATTTTTTTTTTTGGAGATGTTTTTGCTATAGGGCACGTGCGCTCACCAGAAAGACAGAGAGAGATAGACAGAAAGTGAGAAATCACCCCCCATGGGGGATGGCCATGCTGCAATCCCTTCTCCTCCATTCTCCTCTCAGGATCTTGGGCATGCACACACATGTGCCCGGCATGAGTTTTAAGCTGCAGGATCTGGAACTTGAACTGTGGTCCACTATGTGTGCAGTCCAGCGACATAGCCACTACTTACACTGCTGGTCCCTAAATAAGGATTCTTTAAATGTAAATATACCTGAATAGTCACGGAAACCTTCACAAGGAAGATAATAGGCACTGGGGCCAGCAGATGGCAAAATGGCTATGTCGCTGGACTGCACACATAGTGGACCACAGTTCAAGTTCCAGATCCTACAGCTTAAAACTCATGCCGGGCACATGTGTGTGCATGCCCAAGATCCTGAGAGGAGAATGGAGGAAAAGGGATTGCAGTGTGGCCATCCCCACCGGGGATGGGGGGGATTTCTCGCTTTCTGTCTCTCTACCTCTCCAGCTAGCATACATTCAACTTTTCTTTTTTTAACATATTTGGTTTTGTTGGGAGGAAATACTGGATGCCACAGACATGATAATATGAACAAATGAAAGCATGAGAGCCAACCATGACCATGAAATATTAGGTCATCAGGAAAGTCATGACGTATTTTTCAAATATGAAGAAGCAACACTCAAAGACATCAATGTAGCTTGTTAACAACTGTCTCAATGTAATTAAAAGGTTTGTCTTTTTAAATTTAATTTTTTATAGTATTTAACAGTAATAAACAAAAAACAATACTACTTACACCAGCTATACTGTAGTCCTTTAGTATTTCAAATAAAATAGAAATAATTCTTTGTAAATGAGAGAAAACCATTTAAAAATTGGCACTGTGAACAAGGATACTTCATGACAAGTAATGATTAAAAGACAAAAAGCAGTCTTCTCTACCTATACAGAAAACACTTGAGCCATAGTATAACCAAAGTGTTGTTATGTTATTGTTATCATTTCACATAACTTTGAAAATCAAACAATTAACATTTTAATTTCAAAAGACTTACCTCTTTACAAAATGTTCTAGGGACCATGATTTTCAGAATCTGTGTGAGCCTTGATAAAAACACTTTGTCCACCACAGCTCGCTCTTTCTTTCCCTCTTTCTACATTTAGGAGAGGGGAAAAAAAAGCCTATTTAGGACAGATATAGTAAATGTATCACAAGTAACACTGAAGTGCCATGTTTTATCTAAATCAATATAACTACAATATGGATCATTTAGCAAGCATTTGCATATTCAAAAATGCTTTCAAGAAAATATGACATGTAATAACTGAGTAAGGAAGTGAGAAGTCCTCGATCCAAAGAATCTGGGAGGACACTGCACGTAGAAGACACAGCAAGTACGAAATACCACTGTGAAATCCTGTTAATGTAACTGAACAACAAAACAGCCGATCTGACTAGAGCTGTGAGCAGGTATAACAGGAGAAAAAGAGGTCCAGCAGACAGCTAAGAAATGGTCAGGTAACTTAACCACTTTATTATTATCCACTTCCTAATTGACAACAGACTAAAAAAAAAAATCCTGAACCGGATCTTCCTTGGTACTTACTACATAGACTTCTAGTTCACCATTTAACATTCCAATATGCAGTCTGCCAATTCACTCTCTATTCCCCATAAATTTAAAGTTAGATGAGGTTCCTTCACTCACACAACACACATTCTTGTAGGGGAAAAACAGATAAAATTAAACCAATAAATAAATTATTATAGATAGACTACGCAGGGTCATAAGAAAAAGAATGGTTCAGATAGGCTGACCAGAGAAGCCTCATGACATTTAACATGACACATAAAGTGAAGCTATGAGATTACTGGGGAGGGGTGGGGTAAGAGAAGGTAAGAAGCACAAGGAACACCAACCACAGAGGCCCCGGTTGGGAATAGAACTGTGGGTATGTGCACTGAACAGCAAGGTGAGAGTACTGCTAGAGCAAAGGAACAAGAATGAGAGAGGCTGAAAAGATAGAGCCTACCAAGGGCAGAGCCATGAGGCTATAGTAAAGGCTGAGAATTTATTGTTAGTATAAAGGAATTTAAGGTAAGATCATCTTATTTCTTAGAGAGCTCTTCATTTTCATTGGGTCAACGAAAAGGGAAGCATGAAACAATTTGCAAAGACAAGGAAAAAGTGGGACCAGCAGTTAGCATAAGGGCTATGTCACTGGACTCCCATGTAGTCAACTGCAGTTTGAGTCCTGGACCCGGTGGCCAGGCGTATGTGCGTGCGTGCCCAAGATCCCGAGAGGAGAATGGAGAAGGGACTGTGGCGTGGCCATCCCTCCTGAAGGGGTGATTTCTCACTCTCTGTCTCTCTGTCTCTTTCTGTCTTTCTGGCGAGTGCACGTGCCCTATAGCGAAAACCTCTCCAAAAAAGACAAGGAAAAAGTTGACCTGAGCAGATTGTGAAATAGGCTATGTACCCTTGTGCTGTCCTGAAATAGCTTTAAAACCATCCACTACAAAACCAAATCAATGGCAGAGGGTGGCATCTGAGAAAAAGAAATGTTCTCATTAGGAATCTGAACTGAAGAAGTTGCTTAATAGGGACAGCGAGGATTGTAATTTTAGAGATAAATAAAATTGGATCCTGAAATTCTAAGAATTGTTCCTATTCTTACATGTCTAAAACTTGACTGGATTCTCGCGACATTTCAGTTCTTTAAGCTTTTTTAAGAGACATCACAGTATGTTATGTAAAGGGGAACCTGGACTGGAGGGCTGAATCAGACAGAAGAGAGATGATGATGTTCTACCATCGTGATACATAATGCAGTTATACCTAAGATCGATCTAAAAAACAATACCTGCAGTGACAATGCCTCTCATAACACTACTAATCCTTCCTAGGAGGGCTGGCTCAACAAAGCTGAATTCAGACAGAAGAGAGATGATGATGTTCTACCATCGTGATACATAATGCAGTTATACCTAAGATCGATCTAAAAAACAATACCTGCAGTGACAATGCCTCTCATAACACTACTAATCCTTCCTATTTTTTTTTAATTTACCAGAAAGACCATGTGCTTGCCTGAGAGAGAAAGAGAGAGGCAGAGGAAGGAGAAAGCATCCCCTGTGGAGCACGGAGCATGGTAGCACAGTAATTCCTTTTCTTCATCACCTAAACTCTTTTTAGGATGTTGGGCATGTGCATGCACCCAGTGTGGATTTCTTTTTCTTTTTTTTGAGAGAGAGGTCTTTCCTATAAGGCACGACGAGCACTCCCCAGAAAGACAGAGAGAGAGACAGAGAGACAGAAAGCGAGAAATCACCCCCCGGGAGCATGGCCACACCACAATCCCTTCTCCTCCATTCTCCTCTCAGGATCTTGGGGCACGCACGCACTCGCTCCCAGTGTGAGCTTAAACCACCAGGTCCGGGACTCAAACCATGGTCAACTACATGAGAGTTCAGCGACATAGCCATTACTCTAACTGCTGGTCCCCCCAGTATGGATTTCAAGCTGCAGATCCAGGACTTAAATTGCATTGTCAGCCATGTGAGATCCAGCTCCCTCAACCATTAGGCACAAACTGAATCCCTAAGAATTCTTCCCCCTCCCCAGAGGTTTTTGCCATAGGGCGCATGTGCTTGCCAGCAAGACAGAGACAGAGACAGAAAGCGAGAAATCTCTTCCCAGTGGGGGATGGCCACACCATAATCCCTTCTCCTCCATTCTCCTCTTGGGATCTTGAGCACGCACGTACACGCACCCAGCGTGAGTTTAAGCCACCAGGTCTGGACTCAAACCATGATTGACTACATGGGAGTCCAGCGACATAGCCATTACGTCATCTGCTGGTTCCCCTAAGAATTCATTTTTAATTCACTATTTTCCCCACCTCTGAACTCCCAGTGATTTTTTAAAAAGAAAGATAATACTTTTATAATGTAAATTAATATTGAAACTATAGAAAAAGCAAACGAACCATAAACACCAGTTTTTTAAACTGCCAGAGTGAAAGCACACGAGCGCATGTGCGCGCGCGCGCACACACACACACACACACACACACACACACACACACACACACCAGTAGGGCATGGTCATACTGCAATCCCTTCTCCTCCATTCTTCCAACCTGTTGGGATTTGGGGCAAATGTGCACATGCACCTGGCATGTTTTTCAAGCCGCCAGGGCCAGAATTTAAGCCACAGTCAGCCATGTGGATCCAGCCCCCTTAACCACTAAGTAAAGGGCTGGACCCTAAACAAAGTCCATTTAAGTAGGGCAGCTGTGGTGGTGCAATGGGAACACAATGCTCTATGATGCTGAAGCAGCATGGAAAGGTCCCAAGTTCACATAAGAAGGCTTTCCTGTAGAAGTCAAATGTGTGCACAGGTGCCCACGATCCCAGCTGGCTGAGACTGAGGACAGCTGGTAACATGAAGACACTGTTGGGAGTGCTAGTGCTGCCTGCTCTTTTCTCTCTCTTCATAAAAGACATAAATAAAAATATTTAAAAGTCATAGTAATAAAGCACTAGGAAAAAAAAAATGTACCTAACATTAAGGTGCAAACAAGGTCAAAGGGCAAAGAGAAGTTTCTATTAATATGTTACAATTATCTTCAAATACAATAAAAATACTTAAAAGTCACAGTAATAAAGCGACTAGGAAAAAAAATGTACCTAACATTAAGGTGCAAACAAGGTCAAAGGGCAAAGAGAAGTTTCTATTAATATGTTACAATTATCTTCAAATACATGTGGCTCTCCTAGAGAAGACAGAAGCTTGTCCTGTATTACTACGAAATACATAATAGAGTCAATCATTAAGAAACTGGGAGCGAAGGGGATTAATTTCATAATGAGCTAGAACCCAAATGGTTACGGCCTTTTACTAATGTAGTTCTCTCCATCAAATGAACAGTTCCAAATAAGTACCAGAAAAGCCTGTTAAGATTCCTACTTCAGAAAGAATTCCATAACATGCAGCAGATTGGAAATGACATTTTTAAGTTACTTTCTAATTCCAAAATTCTATGATTTTATCCTAATCCAAAATTATGTTAACAAACACATATTAATGAAATTTCAGAGTAGATGACTTAAAATTTTACCTCATTGTTCTGTAATGGTGGTTTTCCACTTTTCTTACTGCAGAGGAAAAAAAGAGAGCACTTTATTTGCAAAGTGTTATTATCACTGAAATGATTTAATACAGCAGTCCCCAACCATTTGGCAGCAGAGACCGGTTTCATGGATGACAATTTTTCCACAGACTAGAGTGCAGGGGGATGGTTTCAGGATGATTATTCAAATGCATACATTTGCTGTGTACTTTATGAAATAATTTACAACTCACCGTAATGCAGATCAGTGAGAGCCCTGAGCTTGTTTTCCTGCAACTAGAATGCAACTGCATTCAAAGTCAAAGTGTAATTACGGGGGAAACAAGTGAAGGCTGACATGCTTGAATGTGAGACTCTAATGCCACTGCTGATCTAACACCAGGTGAAGCTCAGCTGGTAAAGCAAGAGATGGGGAGCAGTTGTAAATATGATGAAGCTTTGCTAGCTTACCTGCTGCTCACCTCCTGCTGTGCAGCCCAGTTCCTAATAGGCCAGAGCCCTATGGGTCCATGTTCTGGGAGTTGAGGACCCCTGATTTAATATACCAACTTCTCTAAATGGGTTTCTTTTTTTAATATCATAACTGAGAAAGAACATTGTTAAATAGTAACAGTATAATTGCTTCTAAGTGTTATTTACCAAAAATGCTCAATATGGAACCAGCAGTTGGTGTAATGGTTATGTCACTGGACTCCCATGTAGTCAACTGTGGTTCGAGTCCCGGACCTGGTGGCTTAAATTCATGCCGGGCGCATGTGCATGCATGTCCAGGATCCTGAGAGGAGAATGGAGGAGAAGGGATTGCAGCGTGGCAATCCCCCCTGGCAGGTGATTTTTCACTTTCTGTCTCTCTGTCTCTCAAAAACCTCTCCAAAAAAAAAAAAGAAAATGTTCAATATATGTTAATTATTACTATTATGTAACAGGCATTAATTACTTTGATAACTTTTACATATATGTGTGTATAAATAAATACAATCATACACAATATTTTACACATCTTCCCATGGAGAGGTGAAAGTATTTCTCCATCCTTGAATCAAAGTCTGACCTGAAGAATAAACATTTTCAGTAGTATGATTCCAGATCACTGAACAAGGCTTACAAGTCAAACTTAACACTTAGAATTCAATAGACGCTCTTAATTTTTAAAAGTGCTCAGGTTTGTTTCTAATTTCTACTGTATTACAGGACTGTTTGTCTTAAAAATTTTATAAATTGTAAAGCTGTTTCAGAAAATGCTCCTTTTACCACAGGAAAAGTAGCAATATATAGAATAAAGGACAACCAATGGAACAGAAGAAAATATCTGCAGACATACATCTGATAAGGTGCCAATGTCCAAATTACATAAGGAACTCAAACTCAATAGCAAGAAAACATCCTAATTTAAAGGTGGACAAAAGATCTGAATAAACATTTCTCATAAGGAGATACAGAAATAGCTAACAGGTATATAAAAAAATGCTCAACATCTTTAATCATAAGAGAAATGCACATTAAAACCATAATGGGCTATAACTCATATCTGTTAAAATGGCTATTATCAAAAAGACAAAAGACAACAAGTGTTGGCAAAGATAGGTAGAAAAGGGAAGGCAATCCTTGTCATTCCTACTACTGGTGGGAATATAAATTAGTTCAACTATTATAACAAGAAGGTGACTTCAAAATATTAAAAGCAGAACTACCACATGCTTCAATAATCCCACTTGAGTATATACTCAAAGAAAATGAATCAGTATATCAAAGAAATAGCTTCACTCTCATGTTCACTGCACCATTAACTCACAACACTGAAGACACAGAATCAACTGAAGTACCCATAGACGGACAAAGAAAATGTGCACATAGGAAGTATACATAGGGGACCAGCAGTTAGCGTAATGGCTATGTCGCTGGACTCCCACATGGTTGACCATGGTTCACGTCCCGGACCCGGTGGCTTAAAACTCACACCGGGCGCATGTGTGTGCAAGCCCAAAATCCAGAGAAGAGAATGAAGGAGAAGGGATTGCAGCGTGGCCATCCCCCCCCCAGAAGGGATTGCGGCGTGGCCATCCCCTCTGGGGGGTGATTTCTCGGTCTCTGTCTCTCTGTCTCTCTGTCTCTCTCTGTCTGTCTGGCGAGCACACGTGCCCTATGGCAAAAACCTTTCCCAAAAAAAAGAAAGTATACATGGAATATTATTCAGCCTTAAAAAGAAAAGAAATCCTATCAATTGTAACAATATGAATGAACCTAGAGGGTATTATACTAAATAAAATAATCCAGGTACAAAAAGACAAATAATGCATGTCCTCACATATGGAATCTAAAAAAGATGTCAAACCGATAAAAGCAGAGAATAGTGGATTGTAAAGAGCTAGGGGACAGGGAAAATGGAGACATGTTAGTTGAAAGATACAAATTTCAGTTGTTCAAAATGAATAAATTCTGGAGAACTAATGTACAAGATGGTAAATATCACTTGACAGTAGAATCATTTCACAATGTATATCAAAATAAAATTCTAAAATAAAATATTTAATAAAACTGACATAGTACTTACTGCTAATAATCATCATAAGCTGCTTTTTACACAGATGAATGGGGATGGACCCATGCATTGCAATTGCTCACAATATATTTTTAAGTTTGGTAATACATACAATGGTTCTTGAAAAGGTTCATTTTTTTTTTAAAGTGTATTAAGAAAAGACTACATGGATATCAAAAACTTTTTGCACCTAAATAAACTCATACTTTAATTACATTTTTCCATGAACTTTTGAAGTGCTCCCAAATACACTCACACACATACACACACCTGTGTACACAGTACATATAGACATACATACCTACAATTATCAATGAGCCGCATAACTAGTCAGTTCTCCTGTCACTTTTCTCTCCTCAATCTTCCATGAAATACCTTGTGCAGAGTGCACAATGACATCTTACAAGGCCTGAACATGTATGTAATCTACACATAAGTCCCGTGTGCTTTGATCGGTCTGTGACAATTAAAATAGTACACAGCATACTCTGTAGCTCTATGTCATTGTTATGATTTCGAACCAGATTCATTATACAATTTCCATTTCTCAGAAATTCTATGAAAACACCTTTCACCTATAATACTATAAAACATGTTAATGGCAAAATAATTCAATATGAGTTCAAAAATTGAAGTACGATGATTTTCTTAGTTTTACGTTAAAACACATCAACCTAATGCAGGTTCTAATGCAGGAGATTTCTTTACCATGCATGTGGTATCTATGAATAATCAATTCAAACACAAAAACTGGCACCAAAATCTGTGATACTATGGTAGTCATTCAAATAACCTTGAATGTGCTTATACTGATCTTTAATTTATCACCAAAACGAAAATATAAAATTAGAAAAAAAAATTTTTTGGAGAGGTTTTTGCTATAAGGCGCGTGCACTCGCCAGATATACAGAAACAGAGAGACAGAAAGCGAGAAATCACTCCCCAGGGGGGATAGCCACGCCACAATCCCTTCTCCTCCATTCTCCACGCGAGATCTTGGGCATGCACGTACACACACCTGGTATGAGTTTAAGCCACCAGGATCAGGACTTGAAGCACAGTTGACTACATGGGAGTCCAGCGACATAGCCATTACGCTAACTGCTGGTCCCGAATTAGAAAATTTTGATAGAACTTTAGGACTTGGAAAATGCATCTTTAAATTCATTATCTCTAGATTCTAAAGATAAAGCTCTAGGCCACCTCAGCCAACACTATAGCATCAGTTATTGGGCACAGGGATGCACATTAGTAATCCAAGCAACTCGAAAGGCTACTTTGGGAAACAGAGCAAGACCCAGTCTCTTAAAACAAAATAAAAACCAAGGACTAGCAGTTAGGGTAATGGCTATGTCACTGGACTCCCAGTTAGTCGACTGCGGTTCGAGTCCCAGACCCGGAGGCTTAAACTCACGCTGGGCGCATGTGCGTGCGTGCCCAAGATCCCAAGAGGAGAATGGAGGAGAAGGGACTGCGGCATGGCCATCCCCCCTGGGGGGTGATTTCTCCCTTTCTATCTCTCTCTCTCTGTCTGTCTGGTGAGCACACGAGCCCTATAGCAAAAACCTCTCCAAAAAACAAACAAACAAACAAAAAACCCAAAAGCATCAACTATCACCCTTTCTCTAATGACTTCCCAATCTCTGACTCCCTCCTCTTTTGTAAGTGCCTGTTCTGAATATTTGCAAAAAGGTACCTTATTATAAATATTAATAAGGTTTAAAGAAATCTTAAGATTTAATGAAAACACTTTTATTTTTAATGGCCAAAGGGCATGGGGCTCACCACAGAGAAAGAGAGACAAAGTATGTTCACACTCCCCAATGGGATGTGGTCACGCCACAATCCTTTCTCCATTTCTCCATCCTGTTGGGATTTGGTGCATACATGCACATGTACCCAGCGATAAACCCAGTGGGGCCAGGATTAGAATCTGGTCATGTAGAATCTGGTTCCCTATGCACCAGAATTGAGCACTGTACTGCAAACATTTTAAACTCAACATGTCTATATCTGAACTTAACCTTTCCACTTCAAATCTCTTCTTCCATTTTCCATACTAAACATGGGCCCTAACTCAGTGAATATGATGCCTTCATCTACCAGCTACCCAAACCACAAACCTGGGAGTTACTCACACTCTTCATTTCCAATTTCTGTCTATGCTCTTCTTTCCATCTCTATTGTCAAAATTTCAACTTGGACCTCAAAATTTCTCACACATCAATGTGTGCTTTCTCTCCTGCTTTCTAAGTAATTTATCATTAGTCTAACTTCTTTCAATTCATTTTCATAGCCATATCAGATATGACATGTGTGTTGTGACTATATAACATGTAGATATATATATGCGTACATACATATACATACACACAAATATGTAGAAACCACACACACATATATATATACTCACACATATGTATAACAGACAAAATACATATCCTGTGGAAATCAACTAAAACAATGCCCAGAACTTTATTTATTTC